TTTATAACTGCAAAATAAAATTGTTTGACGTATGATATCGGTAGATCTTCGTTTGCATATTTCGAAACAAGTCGAATTTTCGTTTGCACATCTCTAGAAAAAAGTTATTTAACATTGAATTTTAGGGGGGCTAATTTCACACTTGGCAAAACCTAGGTTAAAATTGCAGGAAAAAATTGTTTGGCGCATGATATCGTTAGATTTTCATTTGCACATTTCGAAACAAGTCGAGTTTTCCTTTGAACATTTCTAGAAAAAGTTATTTAACTTTGAATTTTGGGGGGGCTAACATCACACTTGGCGAAACGTAGGTTAAAATTGCAGGAAAAAATTGTCTGACGCATGATATCGTTAGATTTTCGTTTGCACATTTCGAAACAAGTCGAATTTTCGTTTGCACATCTCTAGAAAAGAAGTTATTTAACATTGAATTTTTGGGGGGACTCACTTCACACTTGGCGAAACCTATGTTAAAATTGCAGGAAAAAATTGTCTGGCGCATGATATCGATAGATTTTCGTCTGCATATTTCGAAACAAGTCGAATTTTTGTTTGCACACCTCTAGAAAAAAATTTACTTAACATTGAATTTTGGGGGGGGGGGCTAACTTCACACTTGGCGAAACGTAGGTTAAAATTGCAGGAAAAAATTGTCTGACGCATGATATCGTTAGATTTTCGTTTGCACATTTCGAAACAAGTCGAATTTTCGTTTGCACATCTCTAGAAAAGAAGTTATTTAACATTGAATTTTTGGGGGGACTCACTTCACACTTGGCGAAACCTATGTTAAAATTGCAGGAAAAAATTGTCTGGCGCATGATATCGATAGATTTTCGTCTGCATATTTCGAAACAAGTCGAATTTTTGTTTGCACACCTCTAGAAAAAAAGTTACTTGACATTGAATTTTGGGGTGGGGCTAACTTCACACTTGGCGAAACATAGGTTAAAATTACAAGAAAAAATTGTCTGACGCATGATATCGTTAGATTTTCGTTTGCACATTTCAAAACAAGTCGAGTTTTCGTTTGCACATCTCTAGAAAGAAAATTATTTAACATTGAATTTTAAGAAGGCTAAATTTACACTTACCGAAATTTATAATTTGAAAAAAATTGACTGACGCAAGATATCGTTAGATTTACGTTTGCACATTTCGAAACAACTCGAGTTTTCGTTTGCACATCTCTAGAAAAAAAGTTATTTAATATTGAATTTTGGAGGAGCTATCTTCACACTTGGCGAAACCTAGATTAAAATTGCAGGAAAAAATTGTCTGCCGCATGATATCGTCAGGTTTTCATTTGCACATTTCAAAACAACTCGAGTTTTCGTTTGCACACCTGTAGAAAAAAAGGAATTTAACATTAAACTTTTGGGGGGGCTATCTTCACACTTGCCGAAACTTAGGTTATAATTGCAAAAAAAAATTGTTTAATGCATGATATCGTTATTCGTAATGTGCAAACAGAAATCTAACAATATCATGCGTTAGACAATTTTTTCTTACAATTATAACATAGATTTCGGAAAGTGAAGAAGTTAGCCCAAAATTCAATGTTAAATAACTTTTTTTCTAGAGGTGTGCAAACGAAAATTTGTCTTGTTTCGAAATGTGCAAACGAAAATCTAACAATATCATTGGTCAGACAATTTTTCACTGCAATTTTAACCGAGGTTTCGCCAAATGTGAAGTTAGCCCCCCCAAAATTCCATGTTAAATAACTTTTTTTCTAAAAGTGTACCAACGAAAATTCAACTTGTTTCGAAATGTGCAAACGAAAATCTATCGATATCATGCGTCAGACAATTTTTTCCTGCAATTTTAACCTAGGTTTCGCCAAGTGTGAAGTTAGCCCCCCCCCCTAAATTTAATGTTAAATAACTTTTTTTCTAGAGATGTGCACACAAAAATTCGACTTGTTTCGAGATGTGCAAACGAAAATCTAACGATATCATGCGTCAGACAATTTTTTCCTGCAATTTTAACCTAGGTTTCGCCAAGTGTGAAGTTAGCCCCCCCCCCTAAATTTAATGTTAAATAACTTTTTTTCTAGAGATGTGCACACAAAAATTCGACTTGTTTCGAGATGTGCAAACGAAAATCTAACGATATCATGCGTCAGACAATTTTTTTCTGCAATTTTAACCTAAGTTTCTCCAAGTGTGAAGTTAGCCCTCCCAAAAATCAATATTAAATAACTTTTTTTCTAGAGATGTGCAAACGAAAACTCAAGTTTCGAAATGTTCAAAGGAAAATCTAACGATATCATGTGTCAAACAATTTTTTCCTGCAATTTTAACTAGGTTTTGCCAAGTGTAAAGTTAGCCCCCCCAAATATTCAATGTTAAATAACTTTTTTTCTAGAGATGTGCAAACGAAAATTCGACTTGTTTCGAGATGTGCAAACGAAAATCTAACGATATCATGCGTCAGACAATTTTTTCCTGCAATTTTAACCTACGTTTCGCCAAGTGTGAAATTAGCCCTCCCAAAATTCAATATTAAATAACTTTTTTTCTAGAAATGTTCAAAGGAATCTCGACTTGTTTCGAAATGTGCAAATGAAAATCTAACGATATCATGCGCCAAACAATTTTTTCCTGCAATTTTAACCTACGTTTCGCCAAGTGTGAAATTAGCCCTCCCAAAATTCAATATTAAATAACTTTTTTTCTAGAAATGTTCAAAGGAATCTCGACTTGTTTCGAAATGTGCAAATGAAAATCTAACGATATCATGCGCCAAACAATTTTTTCCTGCAATTTTAACCTAGGTTTTGCCAAGTGTGAAGTTAGCCCCCCTAAAATTCAATGTTAAATAACTTTTTTCTAGAGATGTGCAAACGAAAATTCGACTTGTTTCAAAATATGCAAACGAAGATCTACCGATATCATACGTCAAACAATTTTATTTTGCAGTTATAAATTTTGGCAAATGTGAGTTTGGCCTTCCCAAAGTTTAATGTCAAATAACTTTTTTCCTAGAGGTGTGCAAACGAAAATTCGAGTTGTTTCGAAATGTGCAAACGAGAATCTATCGATTACATGCATTGTAAGTCAAGTTTGAGCAACTTGGGGGGCTAGTATGAAGTTAGCCTCTCCAAAATTGTTTTTTAAATTTCTTTTAAACTAAATGTGTGCAAACGAAAATTCGAGTTGTTTCGAAATGTGCAAACGAGAATCTATCGATTACATGCATTGTAAGTCAAGTTTGAGCAACTTGGGGGGCTAGTATGAAGTTAGCCTCTCCAAAATTGTTTTTTAAATTTCTTTTAAACTAAATGTGTGCAAACGAAAACTCTCGATGTGCATACATGTGCAAACGATGTGCAATCGTTTGAGCTAAAGAAAGTTTACTTTTTCGAATGTTGAGGGGCTAGTGTGAAGTTGGCCACCCCAAAATTATTTTTTCAATAATTCTGAAACTAGAGGTTGGAAAACGAAAATTCTTGATGTGCAAACATCTGCAAACGATGAGCAAACGAATTAGTTGTAGAAATTGTATTTTTTCGAATATTTGGGGGTTAACTTCACGGGGCTCTAAAAAGTGATGATCGTGTCTCTAAGCTTGGAGCCGCGACTGGCCGCGAACGTCACTCGCCGTGCGGAAAAGGGGAGATAGAAGGCGTAGCTCCCGAGAATCGGCCGAAATGTGCGAAATATCCTGAGCCCTGATATACAGGGTGTCCCGAAGTTCCATGATAACCCTTGGTGAGAACGTAGAACAGATTGAGGTGAGCAAGAAAGTCCTGTGCCGTTTTGCGATATTCGCAATAGTTTTTGAGAAATTAATTATTTTGTCTCAACAAATTAGCGTACAGAAAGCGGCAGCTGAAAGAAAGATGCCTTCGGTCGACGTGCGACCGTGACACTCGCGAATCGTATCTCGCTACGTCCCTCGGCCCATAACTACGAGACATAGCGAGTCTATAGGCCACGATAGGCGTGACAAACGCCAAACTTTACGCGGTTGTTACTAACAAACTAGAAGCGTTATCGCTAAATAGAAGAGGACTTTTCTGATCTTCTCACTTGGCTCTGCGCCCCTATGGAGTTGGTGGGTTATAATTTTGAGACACCCTGTATACAGGGTGTCTCACATTCTCCTCCGGGCATTTTGTGAGGACGTAGAATAGGTTGAAGTCTCGGCGCGGTGCGGCAAGACGTAGGAGCCCAGCGGTATAAGTATAGGCAGTGGTGCATTGTCTTCCAATCACCGCACGCGACATCCGCGCGCTATATTACTGGACCGCACTATAACTCGAGCGGTCTGTCCTCTACCATTCAGCGTGCGTTTTTCCTTTTTTTTTTTTTAATTAATATCTCGACTATTATTGCGAATTTCGCAAAACGGTATAGGACTTTTATGTTCACATCAACCCATTCTACATCCCTACAAAATGCCCGGAGGAGAGTGTGAGACACCCTATATATATGCACAGGGTGTCCGAAAACTTTCTTAACACAATTCGTAAGAAAGTAGAACGGATTAAACGGAATAAAAAAATCAAATACCTTTTTGCGAAATTCGCAATAGTTTTTGAGTAATCAATTATTTTGTCTGAGCAAATAAGTATTCGAGTCGGCGCACGGCCGTGACTCAGTGGTTTAGAGCAGTCGCCCGGTAAGCGAAAGACCCGGGTTTGAGTCCCGGCCTAACAAACTGCGCTTTCGATATTTTTCTCTCTCTAAAACGAAAAAATACGCAGATCTCGAACGCACGGCCGCCACATAGTACGCCCTTCTCCTTCCTATATATATAGTATACCTGTCATAGTATAGTATACATATAGTATGTCATACATATAGTATTATATGAATGTATTATATGTAATAATCAAATAATAACTAAATTACTAAGCTGTGATTAATCACTATTATTTTCTTTAGTAATTATTACTAATACTTTTCTGTAAGGTAAGCCAACTTAAAATGTTAAATCGGCTCATTATTTGTAGCGAAATCATACGTGAAAAAAATCATTATCTGCATTACCTGGGAAGCAGTTGACTAGATGGACGTTGTCAACCGCAACACTCGAGTTCGCGTAGGGTAAGAGTATCTCTAAAAATAATCTATTGGACTGGCTGATCGCGCCCAGAAAGAAACGCACGTTCTCCCACCTGGAATGATACATCATAAAGTCAATCTTTATTACCATTAGCTAAAAGAATTAGCATTAATCCCTTTTCCGAGAGCATACCTAGCGTTATTATTTCCATATTTCTCTTCCGTGACTGAACTGACATTGTTAGTGTCTATCACAAGATTTATGGCTCCGTCTTCCATCGCCACCTGGTGCATCCACAATTCAAGTGTACAACGTGCAGTTGTGGGAGGAATTCGCGGTGACCACATTTGAGCTGTCCCACTGCCGCTGTACCACAGAAAGTGGCCTTGAGGGTAGAAGGAAGGAAGAGAGGGAAAAAATTATGAATTAATTTCTTTAGAAGCTAGTATGTACATATTAAGTTGATCCACAAACATCTTCTCATAAACATTTGAAGAGATGTTAATATAAACAAAACAACTATACATATGACAAATAAAATATGTACAAATAAAAATTCTATGCAGAATTGGAAAAGTTATTTTTCAAAAGCAACGCGTTATCGTTATTTAAAAAGTAAAAGTAAGTATCGGTAAACGAAAAAATAACAAAGGGCGTATCTAAAGCCAATAGGTATTTAGAAGATACAAGCGTAGAACTAGCGAAGTATTTATATTTCCAAATCGATCAGCGGAAACTTTACAAAAAATTATCCGTAAAAAAATATTATCGGATACTACAATTCACAACGATTGTTGGCGTGGCTAATTATCGTTAAAACTTGATTACCATCATCATGTTGTAAATCATGATATAAATTATTAAAATTTTGTGAATCCCGAAACATGTATACATACACAAAATATAGAACATTTGTGGCACGACATGCATAACTCACTTCCTCGTTATGGATTAGATCATTTTAATTTCAAAAACAATTTCCGTTAATTTATTTATCAAGTGTTGCAAGCCATTTTTTTGGATTCTGAATTGGATTTGTGCAAAGTAACACAATAAGAATAACGATTCGTTACCATATTCGTTACCATTGTCCAAAACATGTAATTGCGTTATCGTTGTTAATTAAAAAATCACATTGTTACTAAGTTGGTACTGAAAAAAGGTAATAAGTACGATAACAACATAACGTGGTATTTTCGAACTCTGATTTTATAGAAAAAACCTGTAAATTAACCCATTGATAATATTGAATAAAACAGTCAGTCAAAAAACTCGGTATAATTTTCAACTTTCTCTAACGCTCCAATGAAATATCCATCGACACAATTTTAAGCCTAATGACCATACCAAGCACCTGCTGAGCGTATTGGCGTAATTACCCCAATTCCCTTCTCTCCATAACGACTATAATTACTGACTCAGGGAGAATTCACACCTTGGTAAAAAAGCAGAGAACAGAAAAGTAGAAACCAATACGCTAGTAGTCAGGTGGTAGTCAACAATTTTTTGCTTTTCTACTAACGCGAATTCTGATTGACTTATGCTTTCTTGTTTTCTTCTTTTCTGCTAAAGTATAAATTCCTCCTCACGTGTGTATTTCTCCACTAATCAGCTGGTCTCAAGACTATACATGACATTCAGAATAGAAAATCGATTGTGTATTAACATGACGTGATAAAAATTATAAAAACGAAATTCAAAGGTGTTGACCAATCTTCTATTCAATGAAAACAAGTTAGTCAAAATTATGTCAAATTGTCATCAAATTTATAAGGAGTATGATGTCAAAAAAAGTTATCAATATGACAACAGAAATTACTGCAAAACGTCCCATTCGTTGATAGTCATTTTGACTACCATTTTTATGTTATTTTGATGGTCATTTGATATCAAAATAAAAAATTATCCAATGAACACCATTCAAGTAACAGTAATATAAAACCAACATATATGCTATAATTTCCTACTCAACAATATAAATGTAATATAATACGTGTATTATTTAATAGTTACATACCCATATAGTACGCAAACGTTGAATCGACATCTCAGAAAGGTTGCATTGCGACATTGAAATGTTGCATAAACATTTTAAAATGTAGATTCAACGTTGAAAAGACATTGTCTAATTGTAGAAACGTCTAATGTCCGTTGAATTGCAATATTTTGTAGACGTTGCAATTTAATATTGTTAAATATTGATTTAATATTGGCCGCGTTCAGCGTCAGAAAATTTTTTTTTATATTTAAATATTTTAATATTTTAATATTTCGTTTTGGATCTAACATTCGGTCTATTCTTACTATGTATATCCTACACATCAAAAATATCTATCATAGAGTTATCTTATGACATCGTAATATGGCTGAGTTCCCACTTAGCGCGTCACACGTCGCGTTGTCCGTCGCGAGTTAAACCAATCAAATCGTCCCATTTTTATGCGTAACTTCACGACGCGACTTCTAAGGCAACGTATTGCTTATTGCTCAACATTTAAACAATTTATGGTCCATGTTCTCAACTCACTTTTATCGGTAAAAGTACTTTAAACCTTCTAAGCCAATTAGATGACTTCTAAACCACTTTTACTGATAAAATTGTGTTCAGAATATGGACCAAAAAATGTATCTTGTACACTGAAATATATACATACTGGAAGTAGTACTGCCTATGGTACGCCATAAGTGGGATACGAGGGACTGTTATTTGAGTTTTAATTGGTCCTCAAATTCAATTCATTTGCTTCATATACTTATCCTGCCATATCCTTAAGCTGAGTTTCCACTTACAAGGGGATTGTCCGAACCCGCCGCGTTAGATTTGGCTAATTTTTACATATATTGTAATAATCTCGTTTCTCTAAACACAGCTCGTATAACTCTTGCCAATGAGCACTACCTTACTGAAAAATTTTTGTCGAGATAACAATAAAATTTCCAATTCAATTCTCAGTTGAATTCACAATTGAATTCTCAAATGCCGTTTCCGCAAAAATTCATGTAAGATCTCAATTGAGATATTTGTATCTGATGAAAATAATTTATTGAAAATATAGTGAACTTTTGCTGAAATGCTTTTGAAAAGCATTCATAATTTTGACTCAATTTTATTAAAATTTCATTATAATTTCATTAATATTTCAATAATATTTCATTAAAAATGTAAAAAAATTTAGTGAAAAATCATTATTAATTAAAATAGATTGAGAAAAGTACAATGAAGTATTATTTTGTCTAAATAATAAAAAAAACTATAATTTCATATTTTATGTCATTTCATTTATTCGTAAGATTCGCGTGGATTCGAATCCCGTGTCACACGGTCACCCATCTTTAGATGACTATGCGCTGTTCAATGCCTAAACCTCAACGATCGTACTGGTGATGGCAATGCGCTGTAACGATATCGTGGTGGATTATATTTACAGTATACTCTTATAGCGTTTAAAAATGTAATGACACATTTGTCGGTAAATGTTTCAAAGGACGTAACAACAATCACAATGCGATTAATATTGATACAATATTGTATAACTAATTAAATTTAAACACAACGTGCTCGCAAAAGAGAGAGAAAGAAGGAATATTCTCTCTCTTTTGCGAGCATGTTGTATGTTAAAGTTTGATTAGTTATACAACATTGTATCAATATTAATTGCATTGTGATTGTTGTTACATTCCTTGAAACATTTACCGACAAATATGTCATTACATTTTTAAACGCTATAAAAGTATATTGTAAATACAATCCACCACGATATCGTTACAGCGCATTACCACCACCAGTTCCCGTACGATCGTTGAGGTTAGGCATTTGAACAGTGCATAGTCATCTAAAGATGTGACCGTGTGACACGGGATCGAATCTACGCGAATCTTACGAATAAATGAAATGACACAAAATATGAGATTACAGTTTTTTTTATTATTTAGACAAAATAATGCTTCATTATAATCTTCTCAATCTATTTTAATTAATAATGATTTTTCACTGAATTTTTCTACATTTTTAATGAAATATTAATGAAATTATAATGAAATTTTAATTAAATTGGGTCAAAATTGTAAATGCTTTTCAAAGGCATTTCAGCAAAAGTTCATTATATTTTCAATAAATTATTTCTATT